CCATGAGCAGCCAGTTTCTCCAGGAGCCTGGCTGGAAACTGTGTCAGAGGTTTTACTAAACTCTAGATGAACAACATCCAGAGCTGTAATTTCCCTTTGTTAGTTATCTGAGTAACTCCTCTAAAAAAGAAGCTGCAGTCAAAAGGGGTTTGTTGCTGACTGCCTGGGTGTTTGGCTTTGTGGTGGATGAAGGCACAGCTGCAGGTGTTACAGAGACTTACCCATCTACAACAAAACTACTGCAAAGGACCCTTGAAACACAAAAAGATGCAGTAACCCCCCCAAAAATCCAGTCTCATTCCACTCCCAGGTTACGTGAGCGATTCGGTCCGAAGGTGTTGTCTGAAGAATGATTTCCAGCAGCCTTTGTTACCCCTCTGGGAGGTCCAGGACACCACGACCTGTAAACATCAGCCTGGACTTCCAACAGCCCTGAAATACAAAAGCAGAGCAGGTTTTAATTCCTTGCTGGGGGTGTCTGACCCTGTCTCTTGTCTCGTTCTAGCATGCCAATGAAGATGTGGAGAGGATGCTGTTAGGAAACAAGTGTGACATGGAAGATAAAAGAGTTGTCCCTAAAGCAAGAGGTGAACAGGTAAGTGTCAGACACAAACCCACTTACATTTACTTCCCATTTAGTTGGGAAAAGACCTTTAAGGTCCTCGAGTCCAGTGTTCCCCCAGGGGCTGCGTGGCAAAAGGAACTGCCCCGAGTGGAGGAAGTTCTGCTGCAGTTTCTGCTTTCTTTGATAACTAACAGTTTCCAGATGCCTTTCGTTAAGTTACCACGCGACAGGCCTGGGTGGCACCTGTCACCTTAGCTTCAGGCACTGATTTGTGATTTAATTCACTTCGATCCTTGCTTTGGAATCCTCCAGTTCCAAATATTCCTTGGTGACACTTTGCCTCGCCAGCTCTTCTGGTGCCTGCTGTGGCCAAAAGGATTTTAGCTGCCTGTAGAAGCTGCTGGTGCCCAGGTTGCAGCAGCACGGGTGGAAGAACCTTCCAAGGAACCTCCTTCTAACCTCCTCCTTTCTTTCTCTCCTGGTTTAGATTGCTAGGGAGCACGGTATTAGGTTTTTCGAAACTAGTGCAAAAGCAAATATAAACATTGAGAAGGCATTCCTCACGTTAGCAGAAGACATTCTTCGAAAGGTAGGTGCTTGCAGGGCTCGTTTGAAAACAAAACCCACTAAAATTTCATCCCCTCTTGGTGTTTCCTGATGTCTGCCTGAGTTGTTGCAGCTTTGGGCTTGGGTGTGCTAAGCCGAGCGAGTTCCTTGAGGGAGGAGGGTGGGACATGGAGCTTCTGGGCTTGTAAAGCTCGTGTGATGTTTCAGTGTAGGGGTGCTGTGTAGAGGGAGCAGCGTAGATCAGAGTGCCCAGGAACATAAACTCACCAAGCCCAGCGTGCCAGGGCTTGGCAGGGACCTCTGGAGATCTCCTGGTCCCACCCTCTGCTAAAGCAGGGTCACCCAGAGCAGGCTGCACCAGGAAACTCAAAGTGGTTTGGCCCTTCAGCTCCTGGTTTGAGGAGTTTCATGGTGTGGCCCTGGAAGCAGGCAGAGAGAGAATCACAGAGTGGTTGAGGGTGGAAAAGACCTTTCAGCTCCTGGAGTCCAACCACCCCCAGCCCTGCCAGGTCCCCACTGCCCCGTGTCCCTCACACCACGTCTCCACGGCTTGGGAACCACTCCAGGGGCGGGGACT